GGAGCCTTCACCCTTTCTCTTCATCTTTCTGTTTGGATGTGCTGCCATGCTGTCAGGAGACAGTCAATCGAAGCGTCCGAGAATTGTTAAACAATCGGAGAATATGGTGTACTGCCTTTGTGGTGAAAACTTAATAAGTACTATAAGGACAAGTGCATTGATGTGCTTTGTAAATATATCTTTTTATGAATTGAGCCAATACAGTGAACCTTCTAGTTTTCTAGTAATTCATCTTTTTCCTGCAGAAAGACAGAAAAAGATGGATGTACTTTATTGATCTCAACCTGGGAAATTATAGTGTTAAGGGAGCTACAGATTATCTAGAAATATCAAAGAACATTAATTACCGTTATTTATACAATAACTCTAAACGATTGAAATATGGTATAAACAAAATAGAAAAATATACTCTACAATAATAAAGAAATAGCAATAATACAGAGAGGGAGGTAGATTCTCAGTTTGTCAGTGAAGAATCAATAAGGTACGTCTATCTTTCCTTCTAGAGTCGAGTGTTGCTTTATATGAAAATATACATGCAATGTTGTTGATCAACAAGAAAGGCGTGTGAAATTAACCACCATGTTTTACTTTTTTAGTTAGTTATGATATTACAGAAGAAAAAGAAAGGAAAGTAATACCATATATAGGAGAAGTAACATTGCCAGGTTTTCTCAGAATCAAAAATAATCCTGACAACTCTCCTTTCACCGGGGAGATTTTGAGGAGCAGCTTTTATCGCTCACTGGCCTTCTAAAGAGACAAATGATGAATTCAAAGTCAGGAGCCCAGAGGAGCTTAAACGACTAGAGCCCTTTGTGTCATATAAGCAAATCATGTCAAACTATATTGTGTTGGTACAACAAATAGTGTCTGTGTGCCACAGCTGTGGTGATGAGCATAGCACTGTTGTCTGCACATAATGCACTAAAAAGGATGCTGGTGTCTAACATAGCTGAATCTGGCATCAGTTTATTACAAAGAGGGGAAGAGACTCGAACATCTCGCCTTCTTAAGCCGGGCTGTTAGTTTACCTTGAGGAGCAATGACATAATAACCAGAACACCACCCTCCTCTAGCCCTAGTTATCATACGGATAAATCCTCCTTATCGTCACTTCCAACAGTCGGCGCCGCTGACAGGAAGGAGAAGCAACCAAATTAGAACCTAATCTTCCCGAAGGGGCTGAGGCGCCGACAAGACTAGATCAATAAGGCAGAGGATTCATGCCAGGAGTGGATGTTTACACATGAAAGAAAGGTGAAGTTCTCCAGGCAGTTGGAACACATGCAGCAGCAGAGTGTTTGTTATTGTGACGGTGGAGCTTCCAGTCATGCTGTTGTGGTGTGCGGATGTAATGGCGTGTCTGACAGACGGGGAGACTTTACAGCACAGAAGACGAGCAGAATTGTTGATGGGATTTCTCAATTTGATTTCAAGTGGATTAAGCGCATTAAAATTAAATACACTCAGATGACTCAAAAATAGATTATGCATTACTACAGCAGTCCTCAAACTTTTTTCAATTAGTGAAATACTTTTTTCAGCCAGGATACATTTAGCTTGCAAACAATACAATGGTAACAATTACTGTTATCTATCTTAAATTACTGCTTGCTACTGTAGGAACTAACCCTTTACCAATTGTATCCTGAGACACCACTAACCAGAGACGGAAGCTAGGAAGAGGTGGAATGCTAACATGAGCTGATGTCAAATGGCAGCTATTACCAAACGTATGTAATTTTAACTTAAATTATGGCCGATGTCCCGCCAGACAGAACAAAACTATGATAGCACTTTTAGCTCCCAACCTGATCTTTTACATAAGGAAAAAAATGGCCGCTATTTAACTAAGGTGAATTGGGTCTTTTTCTTCAACCTGCATTATGATGGACATGTCAAACCTTGTGCTGTGTTAAGTATACATATATATTTAACTCCAGGCCTGGTAACTACTTTCTAATGCCCGTGTTTACATTGTTAGTAGTTGTGGGTGTTTAAAGTTAGCATCTGTGCAGCGAGGCAGGGCGTGGCTGTCATGCTTGCCAATGCATCCACACACCAATTCAGCATCAGTAATGACATCTCTCCAGAGAGCTTTAGTCTCAAGACACAATGAAGCATGAAAAAGAGATGAAGGAAGACAAACACGGAATGAAGGGGGGGAGAACAAGATAGAAGGAGTGTGCAACAGAGCAGAATATTTGGTGAGTAATTATTCGGTGATGGGTGATAAAATGACACAGGAAGAAACAGAAGTCTGGGTGTGATGCATACTAATGGACGTTACAGCTCGGCAATCTGCGCCTCTTAACAATAGCCGGCTGCAATTAGAAGCTGTTTCCCACCTGTACACAGCTGATTAAACACGATGCACATCAGCAGAACTTCAGAGCAACAGAGAAATACTGCCGCATCCCTGAAGAGGAGCGTTCACCTCCTGTTCACCTCTGCTGGGTGAAGGAGAGGCTGCATCGCGCTCCTTTGTGAATGTCTAATGCAACGAACAATGCAAAGTCTTGGCAAGGGATGAGGAATAATATACTGACTCATGGATTTTTGACGAGAATAGTTGGAGGACTACACAACAATATCAGATGAGTGGGGTAAATAACCAAAGGCTCTTTTAAACACTTGAAGGAAAACAATCAAACAAGGCTTATGGGATTTTCCAGAGTTTATTTTTGCTAGAATTAATTTCTTGATTCCTAAATATAATTCACCGACGCAAGAAGAAAGTGGACCCAAGTTGGCAGCACATGAAAAAAAGAAATTCATTCAACATGATTTGATTGTAAATTAATCATGAACCAGGCCACACTGGCCAAGATATGTGCTTATGAAGCATGTATGCAGCAACAGCAGAGGATATCCTAATTAGGCCTCGGGACTGTTTCAGGGAAAGTAGTTTGTCGGTATGGGGGTGTGGTGTGTTTGGCATAACATGACAGCTCAATCGATCCAAGATTAAAGAAATTAAAAAAAAATGAGCTCAAAGAGTGTGTGTGTAATGCCTTAAAAGTTTCGATCAAATCAAGATGTCTTAAATGATAAAATACTTTTTTGACAGGAAGCTCTGACACTCAAAATGTATACTACAGTTTTCACTTCCTGTTTAGTCAAAATGTTTGTGTGTGTTTTTTAGAACTAAGGTGTAGTAAGGATGTGATAAGGATCAGCAAGTTTGAAATCCAATCTCTGGTGCAGTATTGAAAGTAGTCTCTCCAAAGCTAGCAGAAAACAAGCCAGAAAAGAATTCTGGGAGGTGAGGAGAAAGAAGTTAAAAGTTTTACTGCTTTGCTCAGGATTAATTGAAAGTAATTAAGGACGTGTCCCGTCTCTCCAGGGACCAGAAGAGGCCCACTCCCCCATCAATCAGCAGCTATCACTCCGGAGTCTAAACCGCGAGACGGGTGGCGTACAGTGTGGATAGACATCACTTCTTAAGTACAGATCATTCATCATGCAGCTGAGCTGTGATAAAGTCAAATCAAAGTTTCAAAGCTCTGCTGATGAGATACCGTCAGGGAAACTAAATTAAGGCACATGTCAACGCTGGCGACTGATGAGGCAGAAAAGACAGAGAAGTCGATGCTACGAAGAAAAAAGCAGCCTCAAGCAATATTCCACTTAAAGCAAACAGTTATTTTAGACGTTACAAAGACAACAAGATGCCTGTGTTCTGATAGAAAAATATTTCGTTCATTAGAGTTCAATCCATCAGTGGTATTGACTTCACTTGCAACTAAGGATTTTGCTCACAGGTTTATCAGCTAATCCGTTAGCTTTTGATCTACAACAAAAGGAAACTGCAGTTTTTCCAATCTTGACACCACATCAAGAAACATCAGTCAGTGCACCTAGCCGAAACTGTTATTAATTATTTGCTTTGAGAATAAACAACTTGATATTCTCAGAAATTAATCCAGGAGTGGCTCTGAAACATCAGCCTATACAGCAAGTTGCTCTGTTCTGCCACAACAGATCTATTGTGGCTGCCACTGTAAACATCTGTTTCAAAGTGTCAGAAACAACAATTACAGGTAAATCATCACCTGATTGATAGTTGGAGCCCACTTGCTCCGAGTTATTCTTCCCAAATACTTTCTCCTGTGTTCACATATCGGCTCACTCAGACTTCTCACGGTAATATTACTGGAGGACCAGAAAGTCCAGCCATTTCGTTCTCACATGCGGCTGAACCTGAAAATTCAGTTACATTTTCAGGAGTTTTGTGCATGTGTGAAAATATCTTTATTTATGCCCACTGGAACAATAAAGCTAATTGTATCTTATCTTTAGTGTCTAGTTTTTGTCACATCAAATGACCAAAACTCAAATGTATTCAACAGCAATTTCAGCTTGAAAATGCTGCTACTGATTAGTTTTAAGTGACTGTTGCACTTACAGCCTCATTTTAACAGCAGACAAAATTTCCCCGTCACGTCTCACTGATGCTTTGTAGGGTCAAAATGCCACCATTTGATTTCACCACGCTGAAAAGACAAATGCTGGGCTGTCAAAGTAAAGTGAAATACTGCTATTTTGAATGGATGGGGGGGATTATCAGAGTCCACTTGCATACTGTCATGGGAGACTTAGAACCCACTGCGGTAGACTAATCTCCCCCCTTTCACTCGCAGTGCTACAGACAGCTGTGGATATACAGTATTGTGCTTCTGTACTGCATTGGTATGCTGTGAAGCACTGTGGGGGATACATGTAAGGGATTAGCTTGAGTTAAAAATGTAATACAGGCTGGTGCAGCGAGAGGAAATCACCTGTCTCTGTCTGGTCTTTGTCTGCTCTGCTATGGGGGTCAAAAGTTCAGAAGACGAGCAGGCAGCGGAGACCTATTTAACCTCTTTCTGTTTTTAATGTTGGACACGGCTTCACTGGAAGATGGTGGTATTCTACTTTGGTTTTGTTACCTGTAACTCCCCCATAGAGGATACAACGGTGGGGAAAATAGCAATAAATCATAATAAAGTACTAACCTTGGCCTTGCCGGTGCTCTGTAGAATGTGGACCAGTGCGCACGCCATCTCCTCCTTGTTCTTGACGCTTATCCCGGGCTCTAGCACCGAGCACAGCAGCATGTAGTTATTGGTGGTGTACTCTGCAAACTCCTTGTACATCTCCATGGGCAGGATGTTCATACTCTGATAGCGTGCTTTGATCCGAATCATAGGCCCAGAAGTCTTTCCTTTGGGTGGGTTGGGCGTGCTGACTGGATACCACTTCTCCACAAACTGCCGCCCGGTAACAGCAGCAACGGGGATGTTTACGAGTCCGATGTAATTGTTTTTATCTTTCTTTTTCTTCTTGTCCGTGTCTTTGTAGAGGTGTGCCGTGATGCTCTTCACAGCGGGAAGGTTGTTGAACTCAAAGTGCTCTCCCCAAAACACATTGTCCGTCTTGAGTTTGCAGGTGGTACGGGCATACAGCGAGTCATCGAGACACAGCTCACAGAAGTATTTCTTTTTGGCCGGCAGATCTTTGGCCTCGATGATCCACAGCCTCAGCAGGTTCTCCACTCGCCGGCTGTTGTCCTGGACACAGAGAAAATGATTGGTTGCAGTTTAGTGAGGTCTTCTTCGGAAAAACTTCTGCAAACAACAACACCGCAAGAAACTTTAAGAAAGAAAAAAAATGGTAATTTCAGTTGGGGGACATGCACTAGAAGAAAGTAATCAACCTAAAAATGAATCAAGTGAAGAAACAGTAACTTAAAAAAATCAAACGTCTGCAAAGAAAATCCCATCAGATCTTCAAACAGGAATCTGCCTCAAATTCCCATTTTGAAGTTCATCCATTTTAAATGACAAGAACATTTCAAACAGCACTTCAATCATTTCATGATGGATATTCAAAATCGTCCTGCGTCTGAAGCCTTTTAAAAAAGCCAGACAATTTTTTCTCCTACATCATTTCACAGAGCGCTAACGCATTCTTATGTCATCAATTGATTTTGCAAAGAGTGGGGCATATTTTTGGCCCATTATTCAGAGGGCCTTGAAAACTGCGTCAGTGGATGAAGACGGGGAAGGATGAACTAATAATTACATTGTAAGGATGATACCTTGAGCTTCTCATAATTACAAAGATGCCACTGGATGTTTGAAATACTGCTTACTATGTTTGAGAAAGCTTGATAATATCTGGATGTTTTTCACATTTTAGACAAATACGCTCTATGCAATGGGACGTAGTTTGTTAAAATGTTTCATGTATTTTTGAGTCTCTGCTTATTAAATCAAACCTCTGTATGAAGTCTTTAACTACTCTTAAAATACAGGAGAGAGGAGGAGTGAATATGTCTACAATTAGAGGATATCTAGGTCATTTCATCAGAGGAGGTGGAAGTTTTGCTTCTCCATTTTTAGAAAAACTTGTTCAAAGGGCCTTCCTATAGTCTGACTGTATGTCTCTACATGAAGCATCTACATTCTCACATTTCTTTTGCTGCATGAAGCCTGTTTTCTTTGCTGTATTGTTCCTCAGATGATCAGTAACAGGAGATAGGATTTTAGTCTTGGCGTTTTCCTCGAATTGCAAGGACCTGGATGCAAGGTGGGGCAGTGGTTAGCGCTGTTGCCTCACAGCGAGAAGGTTCCTGGTTTGAATCCCTGTCGGACAATGTGAGTGTGGCTGGTTGTCTGTCTCTATATGCCCTGTGATTGTCTGGCATACAGTCCAGGGTGTACCCCACGCCTCTTGCCCAATGACAGCAGCCATTGGCTCCAGCCCCCCCGTGACCCCGAACGGGAAAAGCGGTATAGATAAAAGATTTTCTCCCGTAAATGAAGGTGCTCTATACCACACACCAGAAATAAGACTTTTAGTTATGCATACCTTTTCATGCACACGGAAATGTGTTTGCCCACAAGGATGATCCCCACTGTAAATGACCTATTATCATAATTACTGATAATTATCCTCTTACACAGGAGCTGAGTTGTGCAGGCTTAGCATTTTACACCAGCTCGATTCATTCCCATTGATTTTTTTTATCTCTGGCGGATGAGTGCTTCTATATCCTTTATTATTCCACATATTTCCATATAAGCCTAACTTCCTCTTACAAACAACAGCAGCATTATAGAGACTTTAGGGTGTGGCCTTGGATGCTAATATTGACCTGAAATCCACTGAGTCAAACAGGTTGCGTCATGTGTTTTAGTCTGTTTGATGTTTTACTCATTCATACCCATTAACACGTGTTTACATTGATTTCACATGGATAGGTTATCTTTTTGTTGGGTCTTTTCTGTTTTAATATGTGAGAAGTTATTGTTAAGGCAGTTTTACAGTAATTAAATTAGCAGTGGTAAGGTTTGGAATCTGATTCATCTATTCAGAACAAGCTTAGAGAGTTCCTTATCTGATTCAAAGAATTTAAGTATCAGTTTCCAGTTTTGTCAAAAACTCTGCCCTTCCTCTAATATCTCAAATTCACACCACAAGGGAACTTCCCCCTCATCCAAGTCCAATGATAATTGGCTAATTTACTAAATAATGACACATGAAGTAGCAAAGATGCTCTGAGATCAAGATTATTTTCTTCGTTTGACATGTTTTCCACCCTCTGCCTGTTACATCTGTGTTTGTAAAGATCACAGATGGTGTCAGCGTTGCAGGGAAAAGGACTCAGTGGAGCTGTGATATTCTTCCCACAGCCTTTGTGTCCTCTGCTCCTGATGTTTAGCAGCACAGCTGGATGCAAACACATCAGATTGCATTGGTGTATGCACAACAGTTGCACAATGACAACACTGTATATGTCACTGTCTTTACACTAATCAGCGTTGGTATGCGTGGTTTGTAATTGGGACACTCATATATGAACTTATCAGCGCTGATTACAACACACCGTCTCGTCCCACCTACGGTGTATTTACATATTTACCTTGTTGGGTTGTACCGCTCTCCGCAGATTCTCCATCCATTTGTCTCTCTCGGCTGATGAACGGCAGGAAAAACATTTGCTTCCTGTGGAGGTGGTGACCTACCACCGTGACAAACAGAGAGAGAGACGGGGAGAGAGAGAGAGAGAGAGAGAGAGAGAGAGAGAGAGAGAGAGAGAGAGAATTGATCAAACCTTGTGCATAACAATGAGGAAGAATAAGTGGAACAGACAGTTTTTGCTAAACTTAGCTCATAAAAACCACTTTGTCTCTGACGGATAAGAAGCTTATGAAAAATACACACACACACACACACACACACACACAAACACAGAGGAGGGATATAAGGAGAGCGGAGATGACTCGGCAGTGCTGAGGAACAACTGAATGGTGTGAATGGAGAGGGGAGATGGATGACTGTTTTGGCAGCCTGGGTGATGACTGGATGATAAAAAATGCAGAGTGGGACAGAAAGGGAATGAGGGATCAAAAAAAAAAAGGGGAAAAAAGCCAGTGATGTATTGAGTCGGATAATAGAGATTGGGGAAAATTTTGCCTTTCCACAGTAGACAGTACAAAGCCAGGATGTGATATTCAGAGAAAAATAAAATCGAATAACACAATATCCAAGATGGTTGGCGAAGCAAAGTCAGACACTTTGGAAAAGAACATAGTGACAGGCAGAAAAGAGTAAGAAGCTGCGCTATTACGTGCAGAAAAATCACATGGTCGCTCACTGGTGGCGTAATATGAATGTGAGTAATTGTTCTTTTATGTCAATCATTTTCTGCTGTTTTTTTTTTAAGAACAAAGACTTGAGAGAAAATCATTTGGGTAGAAAAGTGCCAATGAAAATAACCATTAGTCAGAGAAGGAAAGTTGCATAAAACCCTGATTGTTTTTTTCATCTGCAGCTGCAGGGTTAATGAGAGCAGTAGGAGTGGGAAAAAAAAAGACATCACAATAGTTTTGTGTGGCTGAGCTGTTTTAACTGTAGGGCTGATCAGACAGCAGAGTTTTTGAGTTAATACATCCGAGTAACAGGAATAAAAGTTAAGTTACAAAGATGTATTTTCTCTAAAGAAGTCAAGGAGCCATCAGAAACACTCCTAAACTACAGCATCATCAGGTCTCGACAGTGCCATGTGGAAAACCTGGATGTTAATATATTACTTTATTTTGTCATAATGTCATGAAGTAAGAGCATCATTGGATCAGTTTCAGCACTCTAATGTCGGGACATGACTCTCAAATACATATAAGATCATACAAATTTTAAAATACAGCAGAGTGGGGCTTTAAATGTGCAAGAAATGAACAAGAGTTTTACTTTTGGAGCGTTTGATGTCTGAAAAAACTCTTGCTATGACCGTGAGTCGTTGTTTTAATGAACAGGGTGAGTCGTAGGGATGTTTCAACTATGGAGACACAGCATGAGGATTTGTATTTTATTATAATGTATGTATATGTGTGTGTGTACCGCCTCACCTCAAAGCAGTAGTCCTGCCCGAGGATGCTGCTGTGAACAGGTTTGATGATAACCTCGTCCTCCATGCTTAGATCCAGGGCTTCCACAGCACTACTGGGGCTGAGCAATGACTCATGGGAGCGAGACTCCTTCAGCCTTGGCATCAGATGAGATCTAAGAGTGGAGAAGAAAAAGGAAAAAAAAGTACTGAGTCACTCTGCAGTTTGAGTAGAGGAAGGGAGAGACAGAAAGAGAGACGGAGCATATGCAGAGCGTGTATAAGCGAGCATTCATGGTGAGTGTGTAGAAAAGGCGAAGATGACGAAGAGAGGATGTGTCACTTTTTCTTTTTTTTTAGCTTCAAAGAAAGCGAGTGCTCAACATGACAACTCTTTATCAACACATGTTCATGCATCTGATTCTGCGATGCTTTGCTAATGGGTGCTTTCATGAGCTCTCATTTACAGATTGAAACATCAATGAATGACTAAAAAAGCACAGAAGATCTGAGTCAAGCTGCAGTGCAAACTGCTGCAGTGGAAGCACAACAACCAGGAAGTAATTCAAATCATTGATCATCATTAATGGTCAAGCTTAAACTATTTGCATGATTTCAATATCACACATCAAACAAACACTGTCAACTCCTCTCAGCAGCAGATGAGAGTGCACTTTATGAAGTTCAATATTTGACAAAGACAACACTGAAGCTTCATTCGGACACATCCATCTCGAGAAGATTGGGAGTCAAAGTAAAGAGCTTTCCGATGTCTGTTGTACTTGCTGTCACTGTGTTTTACGAAGAGTTAGTGACCAGGAGCAAATCAAGCGTATCCATGCGACACTGTGAACACATCCAAATCCCTTTAGAACTGAATGAATCATACTTTTCAAATCATTATGTTATTGGATCATCAAATAGTTGGTTCTGTTCATTGTCAGGATATTGGCAAAATGTCAACAAGAGTTTACAAAAAGTTATAAACCTGCAATATGTTACACAAAACACAGACATTCAGTTCACAGAGGACTGAAAAAACCTTGTTGGGGCTCCTGTAGCCTCGTGGTTATATCGCACACCTTATGTTCAATCCTCTTTCTTTGAACAGTCAAACATATCTGTCAACGGAAATCTTTTTTTGGAAACAGTAAATAAAGGATGTTTCTGCGCCATTCTTTCTTTGAATAACTATGTCCGACACCTACCCGGGCAGCGAAGGTTTCTGGCATTAAAAATAAGATAGAAATGGTCAATCTTTATTCTGTTTGTCTCATAATGACACATAAATATTTATTCATAACTAGTTAATACAAACCTGACAGGAGCTTCGATCTTGTAATTAATGAAGCTTCTCTTAACAGGGTGCGATCTAATATAGGTAATACACCGCCAATTGAAAAAATGAGTAAAACAAGCTCACTTCCAAAAATTTAAATTAGCTCTATTCACCTCCAGTGTAAAGCTCTCCTAACACTTTATAATATCCATGGGAAGTTCAAGATAACATTTCATTAAGTGGATTTAACCAATTGTTTTTTTTAAATTTATAATTACAGCATCAAACATCAGCACTTTGTTTCCTGCCTTTCTATTGCCGTCAGAATTACCCCAGTCGCAGCCAGCCTCACTACGATAAGAGGATGAAAAGCTAAATACGCTAGCAAGGGATGTGAGCAGCGACCGGCGGATACACAAACATCAATCCCTGACACTTAGACAGTGGCAGGACTAGGGAGATGGGGGTCAACGTCTGGTGTAATGACTGGGAACATTCTGTTAATAGTGCCCTCTATGGACGGCTTACAGACTAATCCCATGTATGTGAGTAGGCCCTCTGAGTATGTGTGTGTACTGTCCATCTCTTGTGCTACACCAAGAGCTTTTCAGGAAAAAAAAAAAAAAATGCAGCAGCCGTAATGACAGATTAGCAACCACATGCAGCCCTTTGATCAGTCCGCCAGCTTTGTTGTTCAATCTACGGTCCAATGTGGAGTGGATAATGATCCTCTCAAGTTCCCACACACACACACACACACACACACACACACACACACACACGCACACACACACAGGGAAGGGAAAGGATAATGACATCCTCTGAAATAAAGAGAAACAAAAAACTGATGCGCAAATGCCACAATATTAGAATCCAGATTTAGGAGCTGCTAGCCTTTCCAAAGCACAGCTGCAGGGGAAGTGTGTTTGCAGCTAGCTCTGCTTTCTGATTGGCCGGCTGGGTACCGGGCAGAGTAGAGAGCGAGTCAAGAGAGCCGGGAGGAGGGGAAACATGTTTTTTTTTTTTTTTTTTCCCCTACAGGGATGTGCTATTAGAGGCAAGGAGGGATAAGAACTAGCTGTGTGAACCATAGTCCATCCCGCAAGATAATGTTTCTATTTCTCACAAACAAACCAGACAATGATACAATCACATGGCATTCATTTAACTACTTGTGAGATACAAATACATAATGTTTATCCATTACTATTCGGAAACATCTTTGGTGCTTTGTCCTGCAAAAATGAGCTGCAGCTAGAGTTTCCTCAGAAGTCATTCTGTGCATGCTTGAAGAGAAATTACCACAAGAAGAGGAATGTATCTTCAAAGAGAAATATGTTCTATTCCTCCATTATGATTCCTTTTTCACTCTGCATAAGATATTAGAACATTAGTGTCAGTAGAAATGGTGGGAGACTGAAAGTATGAATTGATGAATAATAATGCCGCCTGTCATCTGTACGGCGCTGTATTCAATTGTGCTGTAACGTGTAATTTACAGCCTATTGTGGGCCACTTTGTAACCATGACAGTGAAAGAGTGTCTAGCGTGTGATATGTGCTCGTAACTTGTGTGTCACCAAGTCTGACACATTGTGCGTGTCAGCCGCAGCAAATAACAACTGATATTAAAAGCAGGGCTTGCTAAATTTGTGGTTCCCTCCCCCTCAACATCATCTATTCTCAGCAAACGTCCTTCTTCGTCCTTGACAATCCTCCATTTTTCTGCCTCTTACTTCCCCCCTGTCCTGTTATTCTCTGATTCACTGTTTACCTGAGGTAGCTAGGGACAGTTTATCTTCTGGGATTCTTCAGGCTCTCTGTCAGAACATATTTGACATGTCAACATATTTCCATCGTTCTATTTTACTCTTCCAGTGTTCTGTCTCTATTTCCCTCTGTTTATCCTCTCTTCTCTTGGTAACCAATCAATGTAGACCTCGTTTTCTTCTGGGCTTCACTCGGGCCACATAAATACTGGAATAACACATGCCTTTGATAGTTGAGACACTTCCAGTGGCTCCTACACATACAGAGAAGTGTATAAAGCCCTGTAGTAAAATACATAATTGAAAAGGTCAAGGCATAAAGAACAGGCTATGTGATGACTTTGTCAGAAGAGGAAGTAGAAACGAGCACTTCTCATAATGGAGCGTGGCTGAATGTTTTGGTTGTATGAGAGCAAAACATTTGAGAAACACATAAGTGTATCTCTAAAGCAGCGGTACTTGAACCAGCGGTTCTTTTGTGTCACATTTGTGGCTCTTTAAGTCCTACTTGAAAAAAAAAAAAATCTCCCAAAAATGATTTTAAAGGAAACATTGTTAACAGATTATTCATAGCAAGTCAAATCAATCAATTACAGCGTTTCGAAACTCGGTTGTGCCGCCCATGTATATTCACGGCTGCCCAAGTATAAGTGTTTTTTTAATCAGTATATTATTGTATGACATGCGCATGCAAGAGAGAGAGCTGGAGCGAGAGAACGAAAGAGGGAACTCAGCAGGTATTCCCTCCACTGAATGCACCAATTGAGTTGTGATGTCTCTCGTTCAAACTGAAGCGTATCTAGCCTTCATGTCAATATTTTTCTGCAACTGCTTGCTGTCGATGCCGTCCTGCATTGAAGTTTATGATAATTGTCATCATCAACAAGCCTCAACACTAGCGGATCACCTGATGTGATAACGGAATACTGACTGAAAGACTTCAGTAATAACTGAAGTAACTGGTAATCTTATTTTAGCGTCTTTAGCTGACTGCTTATGAATATTTTCCAAAAAAGCAGAAACACACAAAAAACAAAGCAGGTGCAGAGTGCAAGTGTGTGTAGAGAAGAGAATGAAGAGAACGGAAGGGAATTAAGATGAGAAGATTAAAATAATTTGTGACACAAATTACAATAATTTAGAGAATAAATCACGATTAATATATTAATATAAAAACGCAAACCTAACACACCTAATAATAAAACATCACCTAACCGGGTGATACTCAAACTTGAATTGAGTATCTCACACTTAACCTAAAATAAACGGGCATGATCCAACTATTGATGATAGTTGATTAGCTATCCCTTACATAAAAAAACCCAAAAAAACACCTTGATAGCTGGCAGTTCACTTTTTAGGAACTTGTGCCTCTGCACCAGACCAGATCCTATCAGCACAGATTGAGCTCTTTATGCCCAATGCCCAGCTCAGGTTCAATACAAACTAAGTTAGGAGTAAGTTCAGAGCAGAGTAATGGATTCTGAGTGTGTCTGGGCTGCGCCAAGTCCGCTTTGTTTCTGCATCCTGTAAGAAGAGTTCATCTGATAGCCTGTCTGGGATCTGATATAGTCTAAAACTTTGGGCCCATAGAGGCGTCAGAGCACTTAAGACTTTTTAAACACTGCCGTGCTGGCTGGCTGGTACGACCACAAGGGATTCATGTACTGCAACTCCTAATAACAGTGCCTTTAAAAAAGGAAAATCCAACTGGGTCTACATGTACAACAACAGCACGCTGTAATGCATGTGAAGAGGTATTAATCTGCACATGGGAAACAAAACTCCTTCTGTGGTGTGACGACATGCAAAATAACTTCAAAGCTTCTGACATAACTTTAAACAACTCTCCTCAAGATAGGCCTCCAGGTAATGCTAACGCTGAGCGGTCTGATGTTAAGTCTTCTCGCCGACAGTGTTTGCTGTGGTCGCCGCCCTACACAGTGTTTACACAGCATTTAGCTTTGCTGTTAGAACAACATTTAGAACGACTAATATGCTTTCCACTTGGAGACTGGCACTGCAATTACTTGCTATTAAGGCTCCCAACCAAACAGACACATTAGACCTGTGAACCAGTCGGCAAACAAATAAAGATATAGCACTGGCAATCTTGAGGACTTTAGCTG